TTTTCTCGAAAAATGTGTTCCGAAACACGTCGAACTGCTCTGTGATATTGCCCGTCAATGGCTGCTCTACGTGATGAACGTTCGGGCACTGCTTGAGCTTCGTCTGGATCTTGCTCAGCATCAACAACGTGACGTTATGGCCGCGGTCGGCCAACGTCTCTGCCATACGGTAGTTGAACATGATGTGACTGTTGCTCAGGCCGATGCCAATCTGTAGCACATTGAAGCCATCGACTAACGGCATAAGTGATAAGCAAAGGCATATGGCGACCAACAGCGGCATCGAGGGTAAATGAGGAACGACTGACGAACGGTCGGCGGCTTCACACTGCTTCGAAACAAGGCCAGTGCTCGAATAATCTTGAACCACGACGATCGCCTGCCACCAAGCCGCTACAAGCACACGATGGTCATCGTTTTTTTTTATAGTCTGGCTTACCAGAACAAACGTTATCAAGCTGACATCAAGGTGGTTTTCATGCACAAATTCGGCTGTGCCCAGCTGTTGACCAGGCGACGTCACGTTATATGTAGGTCATAGGTTTAAGGATCTAGTGTATGTTGACAATGAACGAAGTGCTAGTACGTTATCAGCTATTCACCCATCAATCATTGTTTTATTGCTTTATGTAACGTGACAGGAACGCCCTCCTGCTTTTGATATGCTACTGAATTATTGAAGTAGGTCATCGCCAGACTGTATTTTGTTGGCCGCAGTGTATCGAGCAGTGTGCATTTATTTAATGGGTAGCATAACGTGTGGAACGTTGTCAACTGTGCGAAAGAATCTGATGGTTCTTATGCGACGCTGCGACTGTTATCATCATCATCGAAAGTTACCGTAGTTCGACCATATTGAGCAAAACAGACTTCTACGGCAAAAATGACATTCTGGACCAAAGAAGGTATGCCTCGTGAAGTTATTTCCAAGTTCTGTATCTTCCCTTAGTGCGTGTCTTTGTCCGGGTCAAACGTGGTGAAGAGTGGCCATAGTTTTGGAATGGTGAGCTCTGTTCTGATGCGCAATCATGTCTTTTCTTAGAACACTTTAACACATTGCTGTTATGGGGCGTTTGGAAGAGTACAGCGATGAGTTTATAGCGAGAGGCATTAGTTCAGATATGATGCTTTTTGACAGTTTAAGCATGTAACAGAGGAAGAATTGCTGAACTGACCATGTAAATATCCCTTTGCTCGCAGTACTGATTTTTGCCAGTCTGTCGCTACAAACTCATCAGTACGCTCTTGCAACACTGCCCTAATAACTGAAACAGTCAATATGCACCAGGGACAGTCACGACCTCAGCATCAAAACAAATCGAGCCGTCCAAAGAAACGACTGCTGAACTGCTCCAGTTTGACCCAGCCTACATGGGACTCGCCATCTTGATATGTAAGATGACTACGGATTCTGATCCGAATTAAACAATTATGCGAGTGTGAGATTGAGGGTTCAGATTCTTCCCTGGATGTGAGTCAAACTATTTCCATATTTAAATTTAAAAAAAGCTGCTTCAATTGGATCACTTGAACTGGACGGTTGCCGGCGACGAATCGCTCCGGCAGCAGCATGCCCGCCATTCCTCGTCGATTCGAATCTTCTCTTCTCCCTCCAGCGCGATGTTCGCGGCTTCAGGTACTACCTTCCTACCGTCGTGGTAGGCGACCAACTGGCATAGGCCGCCCGCGAGAATGCCAATCGACGATCAATGCCCACCATCTCTTGTGGGCGCGCCGACTTTCTTCCTTCTGTTTTCGACGACAGTGTCATTCACTCGCACTCGTTGCCTGATCTCTGTGCTGGGTCGGTGATAGATAGTTAGCGAGTAGTTTGACTTTAGTGAGCGAGTACCTTACACAGCCATGAAACACTGCCGGTAGGGTGGTAGCATTGAATAGATTGGAGCAGGTTTCATTCCTGATGTTGCGGAGGAGGGCGCCTTCGATGAAACGAATGGAGCGCCACCTGGTCCCTTTTACGTCATTGAATACCTCCAACCTGTTCACGCCACATGTTGATGTCATGGCTCAGGTAAATGAATGCATCGACTTCGATTTTTTCGCAAATGGGCAAATTT